TGTCGAGTTCCTGCTCCGCCAACAATGTTTCCTTTGTTGACTCCGCTGTTGTCATTGCCAGACAGACTATAGCTACCGTCTTGGTGAAGTCCCAGAACACCTCCGCCAGCGATGCCTGGTTGGTTTGATCCAGTAGCGCTGGTATTGAACAAGGCGTTGTTTGTCTGACCCGTGGTGGTAGATCGTAGACCACTTGTTTGGTTGGATCCACTGGCGGTAGTAGAATACCCTGTACCTGTCGGGGTCTTGGGGGTGAACCCTTGATCGGACACCGCACGAGCATAAGTAAGACCCCCCCTGTTTGCCGGGTTTGAGGCGGCCAATCCTTGTCCACTTGAATACCCATATCCTCCCACGTTGGAAGCAACATTACTCTTCGCGCTTGTGGAAGTAAGATCTTGGGGTCTGGTTGCGGTGGTCTCAGAGACAGAATGCCTCTTGCTCTGTTTTCTGGCGGTAGAGCTCTGGTTTGTGACTCCTCTGCTCGTACCATAGCCGGCGGCGGCGGCGGCAGCAGCAGCAGCTTCCCCTGTGCCTGCTCTCTGGGAAGGCTGAGAGCCCTGCTTGTCGAGTTGCTTTCTGTCGATATGGTATTTTCCAACGTCTTGATCGGCAGATTTTTTGGAAAGGTCCTTGCGGGTGGTCCCATCGCTGAAGATGTCCGGGCTGAGGTTGTCATACTCGTGGATCTCTTTTTCAAGGGATTCTTTGCTAAAGTCACCTCCAGCGACGGCTTTCCCAGTCTTCTCTTGGTTTGAGCTAGCTGTATTTCCGCTTCCTGCTCCAGCGAAGACAACCTGAGGAACATTGTCGTTCTTCTCTTGGGTGGATATTCCTTTGCTGCTGACTCCTCTCTGGACGAGAGTGTGTGCGCCACCCGCATTGTGGAAGTTCTTTTCTTGGAAAGTGCCCGGCATGGTGATGGGGCCCTTGCGGATGTCGTAGTTAGGTTCAAGCTCTCCGGCTGCCACACTGCCTCTGCGGTCATGTTTAGAGCCAGTGTCTTGATTTGCTTTGGCGCTTTCTTGCTGTTTCTGGCCAGTGTTTTGCGTTACATTGGTGCTGGCTTGCTGTTTCTGGCCAGCCTCTCGCTTCATGCTGCCAATGTCTCGTTGCTCTGCGTTCGTTTGGCCAATAGACGAGGTACCAGTTTTGTCTTGGTCGATCCCTCCTTTGCTGATTTGCTTTCCGGTCTCCTGAACATTCTCCTTGTTGAGGCTTTCTTTGTTCATTCCAGCAACGCTGCCCGATGCTCCTCCGAGTACAGCTCCTCCAACAGCTCCTCCGGCAATTCCTCCGGCAGCTCCTTGGCCAGTCGATTCTTTAGTGGTTTGACCTTGGGTGACGGCTTCTTTGGCACCATTGAAATTGCCTTGCTTGGCTTCATCGCGGGCGGATGAGCTTTTATCGAGGACCTCATTGGCCTTGTCTCCCTGGCTGGTCGATTCTTTGGTTTGACCTTTCACGAGTTCTTTCGCACCATCGAAATTGCCTTGCTTGACTTCATCGCGGATGGACGAGCTTTTCTCAAGGATCCCCTTGGCCTTAGCGAACATGTTGATGGGTAATAAATTAAGAAGTGAATATATTAACAGTAGGAGGATCGTAAAGATAAAAATTAATCAAATAAAGTCATTCAGTCGTGTTTGTTCAGCTTTCAAAAGATAGTAGATAGGAACAAAGAGAGGAACAGAGCCAGATTTGGGGCCCCGGGGGGACCTAAATAATATTAGCAACCAACCATCTCCTCATTGCATCATGGAATTGGTTCGGTGATGCTCGCACAACTTTCATATGCAGCAGTGGGTACCAAGGACAAGTAAGCTAAGAGAACAGCTTGCTCGGTATGCAGCTCAGGCCCGCAACCTGATCCAAGAATTCGATAGAGAGCTAGATGTCACGGTACAGCATAATATCAGAAGTCGATGATGCTCAACCAGAGGAAGAGAGCGGGAAAGGTGGATCTTCCAGCAGTTCATGTCCACTTCGGATTTTCACGCTTTGTGTCCAATGATCTTTTATCCTCCAGTTTAGCATTGTAACTTTTGGTCTAAGTAACATGTAGAATCAATTAGCGAAATTGGCATCTCATTCGCATCCTCCCTTGCAGTATCACATTATGTAAAATCTACTCCGAACGTTCAAGTACTCGGAATTGAGTTCAATCGATGTCATTAGAATGTGTGGGGTAGAGACGATCAGCTTGGGACAATTGGGCCCGATTGAGCTCAATGGCCCCTAAGCGATGCATTTCTCCACTGTCTGACGATTAGACATGACTGGATATCTGCTCAATGTGTCCCATCTTTATCTCAAATGGATGTGGAGATCAGGATTGAAGTCAGCGACTGGTCCAACATCCCCTTAGTCATCTNCCCCCCCCCCCCCGATAACCTTAAATTAAGTCGTCGATCCGTGGGCGGCTCGGCTTTGGAACGTGCAATCCCTTTGCCAAACATGTTCGCAAAGTCATGATTGCCGGATGGCCCGGAATTGACTTGGTGAGGTCATGCCTCCTTGTTTTTTAACTGATCATCATACCAAACGACCGCGGGAACATCCGCCATGTATGTCATGACGTCGAGCTCCGAGTCATGCGAAATTATCTTAAATTTTTACTCTAAATAAGGGTATCCCTGTTATTAGGAGGTGCTGTACGGAGTATATAATCTGACTATCAATTCACTCGCGTGTGAGATCATATGAAGCTATTTGCGTTCATGCATGTCTTCCAAAAGATAGACACAATTAAACTATTTAGTATTCCTACATTGCAAACTATTTTTATATATATTAATTAGGTCTCTAGTTTTAACTTTCTAATTATACTGACTGTTCAGGGATGGATCGAATGCGGTTTTCTTTAGTCATACGGAATTTGAATAACTAGCTCCTACTGGTTTTTATGACATGTTAGGGTTTCTTTCTCGCTTTTTAATAAATCGCATTTTCAAAACTTGCTCTATTGCATTTCCTGCTGGTGTACATTGCTTTATTTTTTAATGTTATATGGAAAAAGACGTTTAATAGGAACTTGGGTTTCCACCACAAGTATTTTGCAATTCACAGCCAGTTATGTCTGTTTTTCTGGCTATAACATAAGACGAGATAAACGACACTCAAGGGGACATCCAAAAAGACATTGTAGTAGTATCACCATATATCATATATCACGTTGAGCCAGGTTTATCAGATTATTGATATCCCACCTCGTCAAAGATAGATGCTGCCATTGTTGTGGGTAGTGTAAAAGCGATAAAGGCTCTATCCTTCCAACGTTCGCTTGAATCAAGCTGAAGCGGATAGTCGCCAATTTCTATCAGTCCCCGCACTTTTTATGACGCGGGGCCCCATGGTGCGACACGAAGGTTGGGAGAGGAAGATGAGGACTTGAACTATATGCTGAACTATATGCTGGTGGGCTCTGACACGTGTGGGGAAAATAGTCCGGTATACCCCGAAGGTTCGATGTACAGTCGCTGCCGGAATTGTATTACATTATTATTGTTGCGAGACCAACAGAACAAACCGCGTAACAATCGCACAGGGCTGAGTCCCACCATGGAAGGGCCCGCCTGATGCATTCTACAACTCCAGAATCACCCCTGGGGAGGCAGACAACTAAGAGCAAGCTCTATGGCCCTAGGCAGTGTCTCCGGTAGAGATAACCCGAAAAGCATGGAAAAAGAGGCAGAGTCCATTTCTGGATCGGAAATGCAATTCATGAACAGCCTATGAAATGAGTCGAAAAGTGACTCTGAAGTCTAGCCTGCGAGGACTGCCCGTAGACAGCTCACATCCAGCCACAGCTTTCCATCCTCAGACCGCCATGGGTATTCATCCATTTCCGCGAATCAACCTCCAAAAAAACCCATCCGTTGCCAGCAAAAAAAAAATTCAAGTGAAGACGAAGAAGCGTGATATCATCCGTACAAGTACCAGCCGTATCTGGTGTGCTTTCGTTCGTTTGGGCCGTGGTCGTGCCGTGGTTATGCGAAGATTTTCATCGTAGAACTCGACTAGCCGATCGCGGCTCAGATGGTTGTTTTAACGACTTGAATAATCTATTGGCCGGGGTTGGGGTTCATCTGCATTTCGCGACTGGTCAGCCTGTCTGTCCTTCACTCTCGATATTCGTGGTGTGTGTGGTCGTGGATATTTCGCGAAATGTGCGTTGTGTTGATTGTGTGTTGTGTGTGGGTGTGAGTCATTCGATATGTACCTTGCGCTTGCCACCGGTCATGGTAACGTTGACGAAACGGCGAGTGTAAAGAACACGCTTGTAGGCGCGACCCTTGGGGTTCTTCTTCTTCTCCTGAGGCTCGACCTGGATGCAAAAATGTCGTTAAAAAAGACTGGTCGGATGTATGGCCACCGCAAATCGTGTATCGAGTGGCGTTGGCTTAAAATCGAAGAGAACTCACCTTAGGAGTGGCAGCCTTGACCTTACCGGCACGGGCGAGAGAGCCGTGAACCTTACCCATGTTGGATGATTGACGTTGATGGACGGGAGATGGAAGTGGTTTGGTGATGAAGCGATTCTTGAATCTCGATTGGGAGTGCAAAATTGGGAGTGCGACCTGTGTGGGGCGGCTTAGCGAGTGCTTTCGGTCCGGATTAACTCAGCCCGTGTGGGGTCATGTGATGTGAGGTAAGTTGGTGAGGTAAGCCGGGGTTAAGGGGTCTTGGCAATGATTTCTCCGAAGTGTATAACTTACTGTGTTAGCGGACTGGGAAGTGTAAATAGAAGATAATAAAATCACAGGAAGGGGGCAAGCAGTTGTTATATATGTATGTATTTATATTCCCAGCTGGAGTTTACGCAGGTATTACCCCGGGAGCTTCCAAGGTTTTTCCATAGCAAATAGCCTTATGACTCAAAGTCGGGGTCTCTTTTTGGTATCACGAGTAATGTACATGTTTTTCCCCGGCGCTATGCAATATTAGGTATTCCAAAATCCCATGGATGCGATACATCCAAATCACCTTTTGGCATACACTTAGGCCCCCTTCGATTTCTCCTTGGCGGCAGCCTCTTCTCGTTCCCTCTTTCTTGCGAGGTACCGCTCTTTGGCGCTGGACACATCTTTCTCGGTCTTGCGACTGCGACTCTTTTCGGCAATCTCCTTTTGCTTTGTAGCCTCAGCCTCCTCTTCTTGTCTCGCACGCTCCTCATATTGGCTTGCGACCATGTCGGTCTGTCGAGCCCGCTGGGCACCACGGCCACCCTGGTAACCAGCACCAGCACCTGGTCGTCCAACAGTGGGTCGTGAAGCTCCTGCTTTGGCAGCAGGTGCTTGAGCTTTCGGTTTCGGTGCCACATTCAGTCCTGCAGACAATAGCTGGCGCTTGTCAACAACTTGGCCCTCGTCATTCACAATAACCCGAGCTCCATGAGAATTGAGATCCTGCGCCTTCTGGGCATCTGTCTTAACCTCTTTATCCTCCATATCCTCGATAATCTCGCCTGCTTTGACGCGGCGAGCAGTTTCTTCGGCAGCCTTGATGGCTTCTTCGTGGCGTGCTTCTCCTCGCGACAGAACGTCTCGGTAGAAGCCAATCATACCAGAGCCGCCACCTTTTTTGCGCCTTTCTTCCTCCTCCTTTTCACGGCGTGCTTCCTCTTCCTCTGCCTTCCGCAGTTCCGCTTGCTGCGCCTTGTAGGCAGATGTGACAAATTTCTCCTTGTCCTCAAACTCATCACCTTCTGCTTCACGCTCCCTGGCTAGCTGGCGATCCTTAGCCCGCAGTTGATCCCGTTTCCGGATCTCCGCGCTCTGTAGCAAGTTCTGCATGTACTTAGGTGTTTCGCTCTTGGCTTCCACAGAGGCCTTGGCGGGTTTGGCGTGCAGACTGTCGTATACTTCATCGTATGAGTAGATCAATGGATCGAGTTCTTCGGCTGCCTTGGCATGCATGTTGCTGCTGTGCATTGAGGCGAGATTCGTATATTTCTGGGCAGGGGCGGCCGGCTTCTTCGACTTCACCTGGTTCAATCCAAGGTTCATTGCGCCTTGTTGCTCTTTTTCCCTTTCTTCGTCTTCATCCTCATCGTCTGCAAATAGCGAGTTCTTGCTGAGCGGTTTGGCTGTTGGTTTGGGACCGCTCCCGAATTGAATTTTGCGTTTCGGGGGTGGCACTGCGCTTGACAGGGGTTTATTCTTCGCAGGTGGCTCCTCTAGCCCTCCAATTGTTGAGACTTCAATTGCACCATTGCCAGTCTGCTGGTCTTCATCGGAGTCGTCGTCAAATATGTTTTTTCTTTTCTGCCCGTTTCCCGGTTTCGTTGCATTTTTGTTGGGTAGGTTCAATCCGTAGGGGAGATTTGCCGGCATATTGAGCTCAAGTGTTCCAATCAGTTCCAGAGCTTTGTATACTCAGATTAATAGCAGCAGCGTTGGTATTTTTGGCAGGAGGTGCTTGTGGATGTCAAAAGTTGCGACGATCGACTGCGATAAAGCCGTGGCTGGTTATCAGTCGATCACGTGCTTGTTGGTTTTGCGGGGAGATCGGAGCATTTGAAGTATACCAAGCATAAGGTAATGTCGATTTGGGAATGAGAGCTATTGATTATTTGCTAATGTGAATATGTATATTTTAAACTGGCTGTGCTGCAGAGCTCAAATATATCATTGATACCGTTAACAGATTCAGTTGTAGCTACCAGATACAAAGATATATAATAGCTGAGAATCACTTTTGAACAAGATATCATACCAAAAAATCGATTAGAGAGAGAGAGAGTGAATCAATCTGAACTGGTTCCAAAATCTAGAAACACACGTTCTTATACTTTATATTTCATCTTTCAAGCAGACTACATCAAAAGTGTACATGTATACATCATCTTCACCTGGGCAAGCTCATTCTTATCAGCCACGTGATGGCGGCCGCTAGTAAAGCCACAATTCCCAGCTCCTCAACCGTCCTTGGGTCCATCTCAACCCCGAATAATCCAAATCTGCTCAAAATGTCCTACTACTTCACCATTCTATCGCCAACCGACACACCGTTGTTCAACATCGCCTTTGGCACCTCGAAGGGGGGTGGTGATGGCATTGCCCGCTTCCGCTTCCCGGAGACAGCGCAATACATGAACCAGTTCATCATCCACTCAAGTCTGGACATATTGGAAGAAGCGCAATGGACCAATGGCGGAATGTGAGTTTTATAATTTATTCCAAATCTCAAATAGCTCCTACGAACTGGCTCGAATTCTTGAACTCGAATCCCTGAGAGCTGTGTAAACACAGGAAACCTCCCCAAGCCCAATAACCCGTGCTTCATACCCACATCGAATATCCATTCCAAAGCTAACATTGTCGCAAAAGGTACCTGAAGCATATCGATACCTATCCACCGGCAGCTGCCTACATCACGGCCTTCCTCACCCCAAGTGGCGCGCGATTCCTTCTTCTTCACCAACCCCCGCATCTCCCCTCTTCAACTAGCACAAGCAGCGGCCTTGGTTCATCCTCACTACTAGGCTCAGCAGGATCAACTACACGCGCTTCGTCCAGCTCCATCGCCGCAAACCCTACCTCCCCACAGACCGAAGAGGCCGTGCGCCAGTTCATGAACGAGGTATATGAGAGCTATGTCAAGACGGCGATGAACCCTTTCTATAAGCAGGGAATGGAGATCAAGAGTCCTGTTTTCAGAACGCGGGTCACTGCTGCAGGGAAAAAATGGCTCTAGTCTGGCTGTCTCTTGGTAGTTTGAATTCATGAGCGTGGCGTTTTCAGGGCATGTATGCTTTGGGGGTTTGATTCTTTCTCTGTATTTATTCATTGTTTTGACTTTCTTTGCATAATAGAGAACCAAGTTTACAAGTCAACGATGGAGTCGATAATCTAGTATGTGGTGTAATACAAACAAAAATGTGCTTGTTATTCTTGATTAAAATCGACCAATTGAACTAGAAGTGCAAATGACTATTGTTCTGCACCTAAATTGGTCGACAGAAAATGACACTATCTGGGATCAACGAAGTCCCTGGCCCGCTAAAACCTAACAAATGAAGAGGTTCGAAAAAGAAAAGCAACGAGTATGCGCACTGCAGTATCTCAACAGAAAAGAGATAACTCCAGTCCCAAACGCCGGGGAATTTCCTTCCAATCCCAGCGTCCAAAGCCAACCCGCTAAAACAAATAGTACATACTTAGACGGTCATCTGAGGAGCCAGCTTCTTCATGGTGACGGTTTTGAAATTATCGACAGCGTGAATGACGTCTTCCAATTTGGCAACAGTTCCAAAGATTCCGCCTTCCATTTTAATCGATTGCATAGTGCCCAAATGCAGCGACGGCTCAGCGGCTGCAGTGCCGTCATCCAAGACGACACAGTCGAAGCCACGGTCGTTAGCTTCGCGCATGGTCGTGGAGACGCAGACGTCGGTGGTCACACCGGCAATGACGAGATTTTTCACGCCTTTATTACGAAGGAGGAGCTCAAAATCGGTGTGTGCAAAGGCACCTCGGCCAGGCTTGTCGATGACCGGCTCACCAACGAGAGGATACAATTCGTCAACAGTATCGTGGCCTAGTTCACCACGGATGAGCAGACGGCCCATGGGACCGGGAGAACCAATACCCAAGCCTGATGCGTTATTACGAGACCGGTATGCCTCGCGACTTGAGAGAGTAGATAGATCGGGTCGGTGTCCTAATGGAGTTAGTAAAAACATACTGGGAGCCAAACATAGGAGACCAAGTACCCTCGCGAGTGTGGTACACCGGGAAGCCCCCAGAGCGGAAAGCATGCAGCAATCTTTGCAAGCGGGGAATCAAAGCTTGCGCGCCAGAAATATCATAACCCTGATATCCCATGTATCCTTCGGGCAAACAGACTAGAAGAGAATCAGCTGGATGATACACTGATAGCGGTAGTATGTGGAGATACTTGCAGTCCTTTTGCATGTCAATTATCACAAGCGCAGTGGTGTATGGGGTGAATGAAGCATCATGCGGCCAATCATATGGGATGGCTGGTAGCTGGCCCTTGCGGACCTTGTGGTGAGGCACTTGTCGCGGCTTCTCGATAATAGGACCATGGTTGTGCGTCGCATTCAGCACCGTCAGGGTCCAGATACCTGGAGAGCCGGCTGCGACGAGCATGAAAGGACAATCCATCAAACGGGAGGTTCTGCGACGCTTGCGCGTTTCCTCAGTCAGACCGTTCCGTGGCCGATAGTGGCCGCCACGATCACAGCGCAGCCACACCTTGGCGGTGCGGCCAGGTTTCTTCTCTGTAGGCGTGCTTGATGACTTAACAACCACATTGTAGCCATGTTCCTTGCCATGGTCTTGGACTGCGGCGAGAAGAGATGCTCTGTAGACATAAGTTGTTGATATTGGTCCTATTAAGCAAGGGGCAATGGGACGAGAACTTACTTGTCAGGGTATGTCCCCTCCGGAGGGGGCACCAATTGCATTGCCAGTTCTGGAATGTCTTGAAGGTCGCTGGGCGCATCGTCAAGGTTGAGATCGGTTGAGTCGGCCATGGTGATAGATCGGATTGGGCCTTAGCCTCACTGGAGGGGATCTATCTAAGGGACAGAAACTGTAAGTACAGATGTCATACCATCATCCCACGTTTGGCGATGCACCTCAACACTAGGGCAGGTAGATGAGCTTGCGAATAATCGGGGGTAAACAAGTGCGTGGAAGCAAACAGGATGATCAGCGATCTTAAGAACATCGTGCGTGGGCATAATATTCAGGGTAGTGTCTAGAGGCAACAAACACATGTTCTTAGAGCTTAGAAGCTCCCGGAGGGTTCTAAAGCAAATATTGAAAGGTAGAGAAAGCTACTTACCTCTCCAACTTGAATGCCCTAGAGACCTAAAGACTGGAGACTGGGGACTGCTGAGTCCAGATCACGGGCTGAGGTCGATCAGGATCACTTTCAGCTCCAATGAGGCTTAGCTCCACATTAGTGCCTTAATATGCCTGAGGCAAAAGGTTTCTGCCTTAACATATCAAAAGAGCGGTGGGTGGCTGAGCCCAGATCTGCTAAATGAGGACTAGCGCATCTACCGGCCCCCCCCTGACGACCGAAACAACAACACCGGTCTCTCCCAGCCCGATCTAATCTAACCCGCTTTTTGACACGAGGCGGGTCGAAGGTAACCCAGCTTTACACGTCTTAACTCGCCGTATCCCTTGATCTTCTCTTCCTCTCTCTGTGGAGGGACACATTACCAGGTACCGCGATCAATCCCTTGCGTCACCGCCTCCGCGAGGGGCTCTTATCAAAACGCACGGTTGTTGACATCGGGCCACCACACAACACATGAATCTTTGAGAGGGGCTGGTGCGATCTGCAGGGCAAGACAGCCTGGTGTACAGTCTCTACTGACTTTCGCCGATTTTGGACGACAACCGTCGTCCAGACATTTTCTTTGCGACCGGTCCTCTGGGTGCCCAACGCGAGAAGATGCCGGCCGTCGAGGAGTCACCTTCCGAACGGAAGCATACGAGTAGCTCTTACAGAGATGAACTGGCTCATTACAAAGCCCAGTATGAGCAACTTGAGGCGGAGCTTGCGGACTTTCAGTCCTCCAGCCGGGAGCTGGAGGCTGAGATGGAGAAGGACATTGAAGCTTCGGAAAAGCGGGAGCGGCAACTGAAGGAAAAGCTCGACACGATGCGATACGAAGTCGACGAGTGGAAGGTATGGGATCATGCCCACTGCTCACAATTGTGCGGGTGCTAACATTGCGTTGGCAGACCAAATACAAGCAGTCAAAATCCGAAGGCAACTCTGTGCAGAACAACCTGCAGAAAGAAATCACCACACTTCGAGACGCGAACCGCACTTTGCAGCTCAAGCTTCGAGACATTGAAGTTGCCAACGATGACTACGAGCGCCAAGCTCGGAACACCACCTCGTCCCTGGAGGACATGGAGTCCAAATACAATATCGGCATTGAGCGCGGGGTCTTGCTAGAGGAGGAAATTAGAAATGGGGAACAGGAGCGGGAGCAGCTGCGCATTGATAACCAACGTCTCCGAGACGAGCTGTCGGATCTGAAGATTGAGGCCGAGATCATCCAAGAGAAGCTTCGAAATACCGAAGGACATGGCATGCGCCGCCGCAAGCCTACTCCTTTGTATCATCGCAGCCCGGCAACTCCACAGAGTTTGGAGATCTTTGACCGCTCGCCTGGCACCGCTACATCTTCCCCAGTATTTGCCACACCCCCCGCGAAATCATCCCTTGCGTCGTCGACCGCTACCCCACCTTCACCCCCTATCTCCGAGTCGTCTGTGAACATGCGCAAGTCGATCAACCCTCATGCAAACTCCACGCCTACATTCCCTCGACAGAGAGCCGCTGGCGCAGATCCAGTGAACTCTAGAACCCTTCACGCGCGGACTCAAACGCGTACCACTCATTCACGGACCCCATCTCTTGCTTACAGCAATGGCGCATTTAGCACCGGAAACGGCAATGGCAACGGCAACGGTAATGGTCGGTCCACTCCCTCCATGTCTATCTCGTCTCGCAACAGTTTGACGAGAATGAACACCTCGCGGCCACCGGGGCTTCCCAAGTCTGGATCACTGTTCCAAATCCGTGGCCTGATTGGTAAGATGCAGAAGCTTGAAGAGCGCGTCCAATCAGCCAAATCGCGACTTCCCGCCCCATCTGACACCTCCTCTCGCGGATCTCCTCGTTCTGGGTCCGTAATCAGCGACACCCCGATCGTCCCGTCGTCGATCACTGTTCGCAGGAATTCTCACAAACGGCTGAGTAATAGTAGCCTTGGTTCCTCCGCGCGGGATAGTGAAAGTACTCCATCTTACCCCCCACAGGGTCGTCAGTCGCTTGGACGTACAGGCGAGAGTCGCCCAAGCAGCCGAACTAGTCTCTCTAGCCGCAGCTCCTTCAGCCAGAGCGTGCACTCGGGTGTCCCCGTAAATGCCCGGCCTGAAAGTCGTTCGAGCCGTCCCGGGGCCAAAACGCCACTGGGTCACTACTCGACAAACCCTATGACAGAGGGCCGGCGGCCTCGGTCATCTCTCAGCAATCATGCCGGCCAACTCCCTAACATCGCTGGCATGTCTCTTATCGATGAGGACCAAGACATTGCTACGCCAACCACCGCCCGCATCTCCCAAGAGATTCAACAGCCTCAACGCCCATCTGTAACTACCACCCCCACCCCCATAGTGAAGAAGCGAACTATTAGCGGTATCCCGGCTCCCCGAAGCTTCAAGACCAGCATCGGACCTGGTGCCATGCCCCCCCCACACAGGAAGACTCAAGTCAGTGACCTGGGGGAAACCTTTTAATCCGTCTTTTCGCGTTTAGTATTTATGGAATTTGCATGGGGGTTCAGTGAACGGGTGGTTTGTGTGCTAGGGTTATTTGACGTTTGTTTTACATACTTCCAAGATTGACTTTGATCGGCTGCATTCTACCAAGAGGAGTGGGGGTACTTCCCGGCAGACCGCCCTGGTCAGACGTATCCCTTCTTGTATAGTTTTGCATGTTGACTCGTCTCGAACCAGCCAGGCCTGGTTCATTTGTGCGCGATGTGGCCCCCGGTCGATTCTGGGGACGTTCTAAGCTGTGTCTCAGCGATTGTCTTTTCCTTCAAGATCCAATAATACCCATGATGTTATTTATGCTCCAAATCATAAAATTGTACGATGTATAATATAGGTTGACGGTCCATTTGGGTGTAGAGTTGAGTTGTGACGTCAATCCATGGCTTTGGGAATGGGTTGAGTTGGGGATATGGATATGATTGGTCTACCATCATTTGTTTCCGGACACTGAGGCTGATCGTGTTGAATCATGCAGGTTGGCCGAATTGGGATAGCGTGTGCGCCATTCTCAGATTGGTAGTGGCGACCTCGGGAGCATATCTTGATTATAGATTTTAGATTACCTCCAGGTTGGAATGTATACTTGGGTAATATGGAGTAGGTAAAGCATGTTAATCTAATAATTTGACCTTGGGATTTTCAAGGTTTAAAAATTGCCATTGAATTTCGAATGCATGTGATTTCTCTTTTTTTCATTTTCTTCATTTTCAAAAAAAGGGAAAATCGCTCTCCGAGGGCACTGCCCGAATCGGGTGCCGAATGCAAATGGTGCCGAGACCCGTGGGGAAGCATTTACGGAGTGAACTGTTATGTTGTACGGAGTACACTAACTCCGTACTCCTTATAGTGTACGGAGTACGGAGTGTACCAAGTAGGTAGATGAGATATCCCTCCATATTTGGTAGTGATTTTAATATTACTCCGTAAAGACTATTTCTCTTTTTAAAAATGTATAGAAATAAAAAATAAAAAAAATAAAGATCGAAGCCGGCAGAAGTGGTGGGCAGCAAATTGTAGTGGAACCTGGCCCAACAAAGCCAGGGAGTTGGGGGAGCCCGTTCCTGGAAAAGTACCTGACCATACTGTTAAGTATGCAAAGGTACATGTAGCTTTGGCCACTTGGGGGAATCAAGCACAGCCAGTTGGGATCAACTCCACTTCGGTGGGACCTCCAGAAAATCATATTCTCAGCAATTTTCCCCTTGGACTTAATATTATTTCATTGAAGTCTGAATCTCTTCAATTTCTACATTCAATCTCACATAGAAATTTCTGTTCGGGTTTTTGGTGGTTCCCGGTAAGTCTTACTACCAAGAATCAAGTGCTTACTTCCCGTACCTTTGCTTCCGTTTGCGAATCCTGCAGACCAGTTCCGCATTTGACACTATCTTACCTCAAGACCCGAGGTCTCCAATTACTCGTGCTGACTTGGCCTGTGTTCCACTCCAGATCTCGCTGACGCTCATCCTTCTTTTCCTCTACCTCTTTTCTCCCTACACCTTTTTTTGCCCACAGCCACCACTCGGGCTCTTTCCGCCATCAGCATTGTACACTACTTTTTAATCAGCGCTGTTGCATACCGCGCGAAACCAGAACTTCAATTCCTATAAGGGAGTCTGACTTGCGGTTATCGACATCATGAGTATCACAAATGGCAACTCAGCCAACGGCTCGACTGTCGCCAAACATGACATCCCCTCACATTTCATCGGTGGCAATGCCCTCGAATCAGCACCCCCTAGCGCCGTGAAAGACTTCGTGGCCGCTCACGATGGTCACTCTGTCATCACATCGGTAAGTGGGAAATCGCAAAACCGTGATTGCGGAAAAGAATAATAATCGGGTAATTGGACGTGGGACTGACTTGTTCCTAGGTGCTTATTGCCAACAACGGTATCGCTGCCGTCAAAGAGATTCGTTCAGTGCGGAAATGGGCTTACGAGACCTTCGGCAACGAGCGGGCTATCCAATTCACTGTGATGGCCACGCCCGAAGATTTGACCGCCAACGCCGACTATATTCGCATGGCCGACCAATACGTCGAGGTTCCCGGTGGAACCAATAATAATAATTATGCCAACGTCGAGTTGATTGTCGATGTTGCGGAGCGGATGGATGTTCACGCCGTGTGGGCAGGATGGTAAGTGGCTTGAAGATACTGAGA